TTTTTGGGGGGGGGGGGGGGTTGCGGTGGGGGGGGGGGGGGGGGGGGGGGGGGGGGGGGCTGAGTAAAATCCCAAGGTCACATGAGAGGACGTTTGCGTGTTTCTGCGTAAATGCAAATGAAAAGTACATATGCGTACTAGCGTTGACGTCCGTTCATGCTGTAGTTGAGGCAAGCGCAAGGGGCGCGTCCTGATTTCCCAACACCGTGCGAGAACTCGTCAATGCGGTCTGTTCAGCTCTCAACACAACGCAAGAAAAAAACAAGTGGAAGCGACGGCAGTGGCACGAAAGCGAGTCACCGCTCGTGGAAACAGTTGTTCCTGTCCCTCCTCTCTACGCCAAGAGATACAACATCCTGAGGTCAACCTTCTCTCTGCGCTTCTGACAACAAGCGGGCTGCTTCCAAAATCCTGCTGGCGGGAGCCCTGCCCATTGTTTCACGGCATATCGGGGCATGGACATGAAAGTGAACAGAAACGATCAATCTTAATCTTCCCTGTTTTCGGGGGGAAGGGGGGGGGGGGGTTCTACAAGCTGCTGTCCCTTGCCATCGGCTACACGCCCCGTGCGCATACCTTGCCCAAAACGTACACGTTCACGGCCAGCTTGTCGCTGATGTCGATCAGCATGATGGGGAAGTGGTTCTGGCGGCACACGATGTACACGCAGGCTGCCACGATGTTCATCGTCTTCCGTCCCTGTCGTAGGAAACACACACACCACCACCAAGCGGTTCGTGAGAGGGAGATAGTCAGACGAGAGGCTGAAACGGGCGAACACGTCAACCGTTAGCGAGAGTGTAGACACGCGGTTCCAAGCATACCGAGAGGGGACGATCGACAGCATCGAAGTCGGAGCCGTCGGGGTAACGCGCGGAGTACAGGAAAAATTATTGCTTTTGGTGCACTGTAGTTGGGCCACAAGCTGGACCAGGGACCCTAAGCACCTGTGTGTTCGTGCCGTTGGGCGTGGGCTACATGTTTACCGGCACAGCAGTGCTGTCTTGGGGGGCAATTTGTGTCTTGTAGTCGCAACTGGTGGGGGCAAAGCCTTCTCCCTCGGTAGAGACAACATCCAAGCAACAATAAAAGCTTATATCCAAAAGCGCTTCAAATCCCGTGAGTTAACCGGGGTCGGCACAAAAGACAAACACACATGTTCTGAACCGTTTTCGTGGTTGTCACAAAAAGAAGTCACAAAAACACAAGGCAAAGGGGCGTACAATGTACTTATCAATAACATAGACGTCGGGACGGACAACCGAGACAACGGTACACTACGCGCACCCACCTGAACGTAGTTTTGGGTGACGCAGAGCGCGAAGAGCCGAGCTGCTTCATCCGCGAGCGTGGTTCTCAGGTGCAACTGTGCCAGGACCTAACGAGGCAGCAAATACACAAAAAGAGTGTTAGTAGAATGGGTTGGGTTGGAATGTTCCCCCGCACCAGGCTTCACCGCAGTTTCGGGAACATGATTGGCTTGACTTGATGGTCCAGCCAGCGCGGCACCAGAATCACGGGGTCGCCGCGATGGTTGGAGAGACAGCAGCACGGCGGCAGCTTTCTACCAAGCCCTGTCTCTCCCCTTGGTGTATTTACCTTCTCGGTGAGAGGATGAGACTCGCAATAAACAAAAACCATTGTGGTTGAAAATAGCTGGGTGCCTGTTATACAGAGCGCATGAACGTTGGTTTGCCTCCTCCCGGACCGACAAATGACGATGCTCGTGCAAGGATTGTCTTTGTTCGTCCGGCGGACAAATGACGTTCGAAGGGTATAATTGTATTCGGGATCAAGGGTGAAAATGTTCTCGAACAAATCTCCCTCTCGGTCTCACCGTAGAAAATCAATTTGATGGATGATGTGACCCGTCGCGCGCTCTTGCAAACCTACGTATTCGCCATGTACTACCAATGGTTGGTGACAGGGAGAAGACTGACACGGTGTGAATGACTTTGCTTCAGAATCAACACCTCGTTCGATTTCCCTATGGCCAATCCATTTCAAGCAAAATAATCTATTCATCGAACAGATCAGATCCCCAAAGCTTGAGCTACAGTACTAGTAGCTGCTTAGACGCACATGTCCCTTGTGACACAGGTGATCGGTGAACGTTATGGGACAGCTGTTCGGTAGGGCACAGGTGGTACGTGTATGCTTTCCACTACGTAAACAGGAGGTGTATTGGTGATGGTTCACTCTAGTTCTGGGTGGACTCTTACAGTTGGATGCGTAAACAGAACGATTGCGCTGGTCTACCTCCGGAGCATATCAGTACGTATCCTGCGAAGAATCCGAATGTTCCTTATCCTCCAGTTCCTGTCCACAAATGGTGCACTGGGAATACCTTGCCGCAAGAACAAAAACAATTAAAACTTCGACGAACACTAATGTTGAATCGAATATCGATCGTTGTTTGCTCTGATCAGTCCCACGTACGCGTACACGCACACCCGACATAAACTGTACATATGTCGTACAAGAGCTACGGGTTGCACCCCGCGGGTGAAAGATGGGTCGGACGTGTATCATCTGGCCATGTTTGCCCCCAAGGTTACCTATAGGACATACATCGGTGATGAGCGCATTGCATGGCGCGGAAGATTAAGAGGACATGCGTGATCGGTGTATATCAGGTGTGGGAGGACTGCTAGGATATCACGGTGATTGACGGTGGTCGGGTTATCGGGAGTAGGTGATACTCCATACAGAGCTATAGATGTGATCGGTGCAAGTTTGCCCGAGGGTGATTACCCGAGCGTAATGTCAGCTGTACTGTTTCTTCCAAGAATGGTGAGCCATACGTAGGGCATAGATGATCGTCATATGTTTGCCCAATGGGTGTGATCAGTCGGACATGCGCATACGTGGGTGATCGATGCCAGTCTACCTGCCCCGGGCTGAAGGGGTGAGCTACGCAGTTACATACGCATATAATGCTGTATATTGCTCATGATGGGCTGTCAGACGTGTGAACTTGTCACATCCAAGCGAGAAGAAGCACATAAATAATACCACCAGCTTCCTTCCGAAACGTATCTGCATCAAACGCAGCAGCAGGACGCCGGAGGGAACACGCGCAAGATATAACACCACACCATCACCTGGATGATCTTCTTCTTGCCGTTCTGGATGGTGGCATCGCGCGAGTCTCGGCTTTGCCCAAACCTGCCGCGGCCTCTGGCGGCGCCGCCCCCGCTGGGCCGACCTCTGTCCCCCGACACGAACTGCCCAACGACGTTGGAAGAGCCGCCGGACTCGCTGAACTGCACGGTGGAGACGATGTTGTTCTCCTGGACTACGGTTCCGCACTCCGCGCACGCCCGGTCGCCCGACCCTGGCTGGTCGATGAAGTTGGTGCCGCCACACGACGGGCACCGTGGCCCGCCGTCCTGAGCTGCCGTCATCTGCGACTTAGGCTTCCGGTTGAAAGCCATGGCCATTGTCAGTTCTCGCTAGCTTCTCCTTGTCCCTCTGTCCGTCTCTGTGTGTTGTCTGTCTCTCTTTCGACCCCTCTCATGAGGTACGTGGTGGCAGTGTTCTTGTGGCGGGTCAAAGTGAACTGGACTCTTTCTGTCTTCATGGTGGGCCGACGGAGCTGGGAGACAGTCTCGGACAGGGCGGCTCCGTAATATGTAAATGCACATACCCTGCAACAACAGGTCTCTCGCACTCACGGACTCCCCGCTCGCTGCCCAACGAACAACCACAGTGCACGACGAGGGCAAGGAAGAAGGGTTCCACGCAGCCTCATGGAACACCACCAGCGTCCTTCATCCCTGCCGGCTCGCCAGGGATTGTCGCGGTGCTCTCGCGTGTGAAGGGAGCACCCGTGTTTCGTGACAGCCGCACTACTGGTGAGCACGTCGGGTATATACACATCTTGTGGAGTACGGCAGATCGACGACCCTGCGGTTGTCTCCGCAGCAGCAGAAGCGTACCTGCTGTTTCTTGAGGCGAGGTGTGTGTGTGTTGCAGGCCATGTGGGTCAGGTACATCTACCCTAACACGAACAACACGGAAGCGCCAGAGAGGGTTGCTTCGTGAGGTTCTCTCGTTCGCGAAGGGTCGACATCAGCCATCGCGCTCCTGCAGCTCCTCATTGTGATTCCGGGGCAACATGCATCATGTATCCGTTTGGCTTCGTTTTTCTCGTATGTCCCTCCGTTCACGGTACTCCTCCACGCTCACGGCTCCTCGAGCGAACGCCCCACCCTTTGCGGAGGTGCTTTACGTGACCAGTTCCGTGTCGGTGGTATGCGCCCCATTTGAATGCCTGTTGTCGCTCGGACAACGCCGAGGATATGTTCCGAGAAATAATCAAAAACTCACACACGGTAATGAATTAGTTGCCAGAGAACAACGCCAACAACAAACAACGGATGCACAATCAGCAATCAGCAGCTTTTCGTGTCTGGGCCTCGTGGTCCCCTCCCTCCCGTATGGCTGTGGGGATTAATGTCGTCAATTTCTGTCCCTTTCTACTGCAGTCACGCAGGTGTCACACAGCCAGTGCTTGGCAATCTGTTGAGTATTTATTCACAAGGGGACACCCACATGGGTTTTGAATATGCATCTTTTTACATTGTATCATCTTACAGTTTTGCAACTTGCCAACAAAGAGGCAAAGTATCCCCAGGACATGCGTAACGGCTGTATGTTTTGGCGTGAAAGCTCCTCCTCTTCTTCCTCCACACGCTTGCGAGTGTACAGCAGTATGAGCCGTTCCCGTTTGCCCTAAACGTCTAGCAGGCATAACACACCTGTGTTTCCGTTTTCCGCATCACAAATACCGTAAGGTTGCGAGTCAGCGCACAGGGGTGCGAACGATTTCCAAAGCATAACTTCTCCACAACCAGGAGGTTACCACCGTCGAATAGGGCGCTTTTGGAAATATCTCGTCGTGAGTTTTCCTGAGAAGCATCAGTTGGCGCTCGCACCATCCTGGTTGTGGAGAAATTACGCTTTGAAAATCGATCGCACCCCTGTGCGCTGACTCGCAACCTTTACGGTACAAGTTGCGTACCCAAAATACGGGAAACAGAATTACAGCCAACAGCCAGGCGACCTTTGTATCCTTACGGGCTTGGTACCATTAGACTTGCTGCCAGACCCCCAATGCGGCATTGGCCGGCATCGCTGTACTATGCGGGGTTGCTGTAAATTGTTTTCATGCCGTCTTGGAGATGCACCTTTGGCATGGCATAGCGGGGTACCGTAGGAGTACTAGCACACTAGCACGAAGGACAAGACTGGCAGGGCGACGAGAAGTGCGTGGTTTCGTCGCGTCGAGCCTGGTTCAATTGTTCAATACAATGCAAGCAGTATTCATAATCAACCTTGTTTTGTGGCGAAACACTACTGCTATGCCAATGCGCTGTGACGTTTAACCGGCCTCCTGCACGGCCCCATGGCGTGATGTGGAATGTGGGTTGCCCATTATTTTCTGTCCCTTGCATTTCCGTAAGGAAAGGGGCGAGGTTCCTCATTTATTAGTAATGATGCAATGCTCACCTCGGCCTACCGCCGCCACCGTCCCTCTCCTCTGCCCTAGAAGAAGCATCACCGTCACACTCTACGTTGGCGAGGAGGCCCTTCTCTATTGCCTTCACCTCTCAATGCTATTTTGGCAACGTGCCAGGAAGCAGCAGCAATGACAGTACTCTTTAAGAAGTTGAAATGGAGTGGGTGCCAAGAGTGGACAGCATGCATTGCGTTTTAAGGCTGATTGTTAAACAGATGATGCATGTATGGAAGCTCTGGGCTTGAGGTGTGGGGGGTTGCTCCGCACTTCGAGGACGTTTTTTGTGTGAGTCTGAATTTTTGAGCAGCACTCCAGGTATTGCGCCACTGAATGGCTCGCTAGCTGGCTGGCTGGCTGTCTTGTCAACGCAATGAAAACAACGGCTGAAGGTCTCGAGGTTTGATGCACGAGAGCGAAAGACGTCCGTTGGGCGCGTGCTCTCGCATTGCGTTGCAACAACGGACCGAACTTTTCGAACCCCGGCCCCGCGACCGCATCTTGCACGCGCGTACCGCATCTGTGCTCTCATGTCTCGCGTTCAGGTACGGCTTTGCGGAAGAAGGACGGCGAAAAGGACATGGCGGAGACGTACCCGGAGATCCCCGCGATCCTGAGACCCACCGACCGTAGCCCGCCGCCGGACTTCTTTCCAGTGTCACCGCGCACCGCCAAGGCCAAGGCTGCGAGCAAAGCGGCGGCGGCGGCGGCGGCGGCCGGCGGCGGCGTCCCCCGGACACAACAGTCGAGGAGTCGGAGCAGGAGCGGCGATGATGAAGACCGGGAGGAGTACATCAGAGTCCGAAAGATGGCGGAGGAGGAGGACGACGACGACGACGACGAGGACTCCGCGGGGGAGGTGAGGTCCGGCCGCCTCGAGACGCTCGGCTGGGTGTCGGCCTCGTGGGAGCCCCGCCGCGTGATCCTCCGGACCGACGGGTCCATGTCGGTGGGGCCGCTGGGAGCGGGGAGGGGGCGGAGGCACGCCGACGGGGGTTCGCTCTCGGGCCACCACCACCACCACCACCACCGGTACAACAATGGGGGGGGTGCGAGCGACGCATCTGACGGTGCCCCCAGCTCCTCCAAGGCTTCCGACACCGCCACCAAGGCCGCCAGGGCGCTGGGGGGGCTGGC